AAGGTTTTCATATATATATAGACCCTGTCCCTCCAGTCTGCAAAAATTAAATATTGACATTCAAGAGAATCAATGTGGTGTCTGTCAGACTAACAGCAATCAGAGCCTCACTGAAGACCTTTCAAAATTATCTGATTGGTGGAGCGTGATAATCACCTTGCATGCAACATAGGTTCTAAATGCTTCTTTATTAAATGCACAGATTGGACTAAGAACATCTGTTAAAATGATCACACATGGGAGGCACTGAATTACAGGTTAGACTTACCCCTTAAGTCAGGGGTGAGCAATCTGCGGCCCTCCAGATGTTTTGGACTACATCTCCCTTAAATTCTTTGCTAGCATTATGGTAGATGTAGTCCAAAACATCTGGAGGGCCGCAGATTGCCCACCCCCGCGTTAAGTCCCTTTGACTTTAGCATGGGTATTACTCTGTAGCAATGCCGCCATGTATTATTCATTAATACTTCCAACCAGCCTCCGTTTTTTTTTTTTTTTTCAATTTGAAAATACATTTTATTGTTATGATTGTCAAGTATCTTTGCGGCGCCTGCTCGCCAGGGTACAGAAAACAAAAGGGGTAGTGCAGGAACAATAGTTAACATTGGTGTTACACAATGACCATTCTTTGTTTTTCTTTTTATCAGCTGGTAGTACTTATCACTTTAGGGCTGTCTCCCTTTGTGCTTTTCCCGTTTTGGTTAATGGGTATGTGAATCTGGCCTCTGCTTGTGACGTTCCACGTCTGTTATCCCTTTATAACTTCTTATGGGTTTAGTGACCCTCTGTTTGACATTTCCTGGTTATCCCCATCCTGAATTATTCTAGCGCTTCTGGACTCTGATTCCCCTCTGACCTCTCTCTATATTCCCTCCATCTTTCCCCCGCTTTTTTAATGTTTTTCTGTGGTGTCAAGTGTTTGGAAGCCATTAGTTCATACTTCCAATTGGTTTCTGCTTGATTTATTAATGTTTCCCTGTTCGGTACCTGGGTTGATTTCCATGCTCTGGCTAATAGTGTTACTGCAGAAATCAGCATGTGGAAGAGCAGCCGTTCCTCTATTTTGTCTAATGTTGTGGGAATCATAAAGAGTACGCATTGTTCAAGGTTAAGTGGCCATTGCCTGCCTATCAACTTCCCTATCTCTTTTTCCAGCATTACCCAGAGTGGTGTTAGTCTCTCGCATGACCACCATATGTGTCCCATTGTCCCTCCCTGAGCCCCACACCTCCAGCATCTGTTGGGGGAGTCTGGGTAGATTTTGGATACCAGCCTCAGTTTTTAACATCCTGCTGTCTTTTGAATTTGTAAGAAACTGGTGATGAAGGGGTTAAGGGAGACAATCCTCATTTATTTACTATTCTTAAAGTTAAAGGAGCTGACCCTACGGTGTTGTATCCAGGAAAATGAAGTTATAGCAATTATGGGTACATGTTTCTTATATACAATTAAACTATAATTAAAGTTTCCTTACGACTGAAAATACAAGGCAGACATTTCTGTAGACTTTAGCCGCATGCCAGGTACATTTGAAGTGTTCTTTCGGGTCATTCAGTCATTTTTGCAAAAGAGAAGGTTACACACCCATTTCTTTAGTAATTAAGGATAGCTGGTTGCCCAAGAGCAGTTAAAGGGACACTATAGGCACCCAGGCAACTTCAACTCATTGAGAAACTCATCCAGAGAAACTGTAATGTTTACATTGCAGCACTAAGTCAGCATCCAGTGGCTGCCTACCAGACAGCCACTAGATGCGCTTCCTGGAGCCTTTTGGTCCGGTATATCAAACTGGATGTCCTCGTGCTCTGCATGAAGACATCGAGCGTCAGCTATTCCGCCACAGGAAAGCATTGATTCAATGCTTTCCTATGGGGAGGACGATTATACGCGCTGTGCATGAGCATTAGCACCCTCTCGTCCATAACGTGAGGAGGCAGAGCCGCAAAGCAGCAGCAAGGGACATCAGCGCTGGGATCAGGTATGTAAATAAAGGGGTTTTAACCCTTTATTTACCACCGCGGGGGGAGCGAGGGATACATAGTCCCAGGAATACAGGTTTTTATTCCTGGCACTATAGTATACTTTTAAATAATTTTCATTTGTGGAGTGTCCCCCTACTTCTTGATTTGATTAGGGCTTTACCTCCTCAGTTTTGTACTTCTTTTACATGCATGTAACATGCAATTTATGTATTTAACCATTTATACTATATTTTCTCATATGTATTATAACTTGTGATCAGGTTCAACACACCCATTCAGGAAACTTTTGCCTACCGCTCAATAATCCCCGACTGATACGGGCCACTTCTGGCAATGACATTGTATCATGTCCAGCACAGAGAGGGGTGGGACAAATACCACCACCATCACATATAGTTTGAGACATACACACCCCAAGACATCCTATATATGCTAGGTATACCTCACTATTCTCAATGTTCTAATACACACAACTATCTATTGATTTTATGTTATAAAACTTTTTGAATCATTTGCAAATTCTGTGATGATACTGCATAAGGTGTACAGAGAAAAAAGGGGGCAGGGGGAGGGAAGAAAAAAAGAAAAGAAAAAAGGGAAAGTTAGAAACAACGCAAAACCGAATCTTTTTCATATTCATATTGAATGCACTGTTTGCGCTTTATCCCCTGCGTGGGAAAACTGTTCAATTTGAGGACCTCAATAAAAACAGATTTAACACAGATTTGCAAGCAAATGTGTAAGTTGGGAGAAAAATCTATTCAAAAATGTCTTCTAGCTGTCAGTTCTTTGGCAAAGGAATTGACTTCTCACAGGCAGTCGTCCTGCTCTTCAAACATAGCAGCTTGTGCTATGATTTCCGTGGTAGATCCCTAGCCAACGTTGATACAGCTGGCTATGGAGTGTAGAAACAGAATGACTGACATCACTCCATCACTCCATGTTGGCAAGGAAGCAAGCATGTCCGCATCACAGATTAGGTTTGGACTGCATGGGGAAGTGTCCAGAATAGTAACACCCATGAAGCAGAGGACAGAGGTGAATGAATCAACATTTTACATGCATATATCTGCAACATATTTATTAAGTGTATCTGGAGCAGATTTAGTTTACCTTAAAAAGGTAGATAGGTTCACTTCAAGTATATATTTATATAATAAAAATGTAATGCAACCTTTGAGTACCCACTTTTGTCATACCTTTTCAAATTTCTGTCAAATTCTGGTCCTATTCTTTTCCATCTCATATTTTAGATATTCATTTTCTTTCCTGGACATGCTACGATGCCCTTGTTTTGCAGGTTTTTTTTTTTTTGTAATTATGATTAAAGGAATGTGTACTATGGTCATTGCTGCCACCGAGGAGTAATGGGAGTTTGAGCGCAGGACTAGTTTCTTTGTATTTGTATTCACTTTTGTATCACACAGCTAGGTTACAATGTTGCTGCCCATCCCATGTGTTCCCTATTAAGGGTTAATAAGCATGGAGGGATGTATATAAAAAAAATACCCCTTTGTGTTTGAGATATTTTTGCCAGAAGCCCAAGGAAGCAAGGCAAATGGTTAGAGTTAGGACCCACCTAAGAGGTCTGCCTTGACGTGGAAGGTGGGCATACCCTCTCATGGCCATTGGAGGCAACTAAAAACCTCCATTTGTTTAAAAATACATAGGGATGTGGAAAGAGCACAGGTAACTTTTTTTCTTTGGTTTTTACTATATGTATTTTGGCTGATGTGTACTATGGTCATTGCTACCGCCTAGGAGTAATGGGAGTTTAAACGCAGGACTAGTTTCTTTGTATACGATTAAAGGAACACTATAGGGTCAGGAACACAAACATGTATTCCTGACCATAGTGTTAAAACCACCATCTAACCCCCACCCCCCAGGCCCCTCCATGCCTCCCAAAATTTTACTTGTATTCAAGTCTGAAGCTGCTGGCTCTGCCCTGTCTGCCTCAGACCAGCAAGCAGTCTGACATCATCAGCAGTGGTAGCCTGATCCAATAACAGTGCTTCTTCTTAGGATTGGCTGAGACTGACAAGGAGGCAGATCAAGCACAATTCAAACACAGCCCTGGCCAATCAGCATCTCCTCATAGAGTTGAATTGAATCTCTATGAGGAAAGTTCAGTGTCTGCATGCAGAGGGACGAGACACGGAATGTTTGGATGCATTTTAGGCAGCCATGACCCAGGAAGGATCTCTAACCGCCATCTGAGGAGTGGCCAGTGAAGTTATCTGTCATGTAAACACTGCATTTTCTCTGCAAAAAGCCTGAAGGCAATGATTCTACTCACCAGAACACATTCAAGCTGTAGTTGTTCTGGTGACTATAGTGTCCCTTTAAGTAACTATTACTATATTAGACTGAGTTCCCACTACACCTACTACTGCAAATATTTTCTAAATACTTTAAATGTTTACATGGACAACAGAAACTCTGTGTGATCGGACAAGACAAGCTAGCCTTCACTCCTCATGTGCATCAATGTGCCTTGGGCACCCATGACCTTGACCCCAGTTCACTGGTTGTCCTTCCTTGTGCTACCTTTGGTAGGCACTAACCACTGTATACCGGGAACCACCTACAATATGTGCAGTTTTGTAGTGGTTAGTGCCTACCCAGTCTACCCATTACTATTTGGCCCTTGACAGAGTTACTTAGATCTTTTTACTTGCCCATTTTTCCTGCTTCCAACACATGAAATTCCAGAACGGATTATTCACTTGCTGCCTAATCTATCCCGACGGGTGCCATTTTAACAATATATTTGACGTTATTCACTTCATGTATCAGTGGTTTTAATGTTGTGGATGATCAGTGTATAAAAATAATACTCGCAGTTGTTGGAATAGGTTCATAACGGCTATTGGGCATCAGAACCAGCCACAATGTTTCAGCAGCACTGCCACAAATAAATACCAGTTTACATTTTGGGAAGTGTGTAAATCATTTACTTTACCAAAGCTTGGGGGGAAAAATAAATAAAAAGAAAACGAAAACAAAGCACACCACAAGACAGTCTTCAATCTTTTATTTCACTGAGAAATGTTTCCTTGATGTCACATTCTTACAGTTTTCTTAAAACTAAAAACACAAAAAATAAAAATCCTTTGCAATCTGTAAAATGTCAGGTTATCCTTTTGAAAGGATCCTGGTGATGCTCACCATAGATGCAGTTTCTCATCCCAAGAGCATAAAGCGACAGTGCATAGACCTCATATGTGTTACAGACATTACAGTATCTCTGACCGAGGAGAGCAGCATGTGGAGGAGACCAGATTTATCAGCTACTTCCCAAAACCTCACACCTTCTGGGATTATTTGGCTTGTTTCCTTCCTATAATTAGATGAGTTACAATCATAGTTTGGGTTAAATCACAGTTTAGATTAGCCAAGTGTAAATAATCCCCCACCTCCCCCCCCCAATATGTGTGTGTGTATATTTTTGTTAGTGATACAAATGTTTTACATATACAAAAAGTCAGTGTATACAATACAACCCCTAAATTGTTTTCAAAATGAGTAAAAACCACGGTCTGTGTGTTTGAATCTGTTTATAAGCTAGGATATTAAAAAGAGCCAACCTGCTAGAAAATGAACACCCTATAGTGTTTAAAAAAAAAAAAATTAAAAAAAAATATATAGTAAAAACGCTTACCTTTATTCCAGTCTGGTGGTGCTGGCTCTGCCCATGATCTGCCTCCTTGGCTGACATCAGAAGTGATTATCTTAATCTCAGCCAATCACAATGCTTTCCCATAGGAAATCATTGGATTGATTGAGATTGTCAATTCTGATGACCTCAACTAAGGAGGCAGGCAGGCGGGGGGCAGAGCCAAACGCCACCCCAGCCAATCAGCATCTCCTCAAAGAGATACATTGAATCAATACACCTATGAGTAAAGTTCTGGGTCTTCATGCAGAGGGTGGAGACACAGAATGCCAGTGCTGCACAATGAGCAGTACTGCCGCAGGAAGCACATCCAGTAGCCATTGGAAGTGTCCCTAGGCTGTAATGTAAACACTGCCTTTTCTCTGAAACTACATTAAGCTGTAGCTCTGGTGACTATAGTGTCCCTTTAAGTAGCTTATCTAAAACACCTATTGTCTGTGAACCAGTTATAACATAGGTTGCAAAGATTTAGAGAGATGGTAAGAGACCCATCAGGAATCTGGTACATTCTTGAGGAAAACAAACAGTAAATGTATACCAAGACAACTTAAAATCCTTGATCACAGGGGGCGGGGCCTGACAGGCATGGAGGAGAGACATATAGAGGGAGCTCCTCTCCTATACCGACTAATAAGCAAACTTTTGCCTAACCCAGCTTGATTTGGATCGAATCCAGGGCCTCACCTACTACTTGATCCAGCTGAGAAACACTGCAGGGCCCAAAGATTCGACGTGATCCCATCTGTGGCACGTCTCGGAACATGCGGCCTAGGTTGCACCGGGGGGGAGAAGCGGCCGATCTCCCGGTCTGGGGCAACACGACGGCACTTACTGAAAAACAGATGCTATGTTTCCCCACATCTGGGCCGGTGGGGGTGATCCCGGTCCACCCCTGGGAGGCTGCCCTGTTAGCACAGAACCATGGGGTGAAGCCATGCCGGCTCACACACAACCCGACTGCTTACCTAAGATGGCGGCTGCCACGAGGATCCCCAGCAACACTGGGAAAGGCAAGATGTCCTGTCCAGACTGGACAAAATCTTTGAAGATTTCTGGCAGAGAGTGGAGAGCAGGATGCAGCACCCCCCCCTTAAAACAGCCGGGTAGCTGCTCTACACCACAGTAAATATATACCAAGCAGCAGCCTGGGGCTCCAGCAGAACATAGGCCCCCAACATGGCAGCGAACCACAAAGAGCTCATTGATCCGGCGCAGGAAAGCTACCAAGAGGGTTGCCCCGCGGCCCATCACGGAGACCTATCAACGACCAGCGGTGCCGAGAATAACCCCAATCTGTTTACAAGGAACAACCAGTGGGCACACACAGACTCGAAGGACCACCATTCCTCTTAAAGCCGTAGGCTGAAACAGGTGCCAGAGCTGCATAAAGATGAGCTGTTGCCCTTCTGTGACGACTCATATACACCCTTAAACTCCTGTGACACTACACTCCAGCATCTTTTTCTATCTCTGGTACCACCCCTGCCACACTTTATACCACATGCAACTAGCCAAGGGCCTCCCTGGAAAATTTCCCTGTTTAAAATTCATGTTGATATATGAATGTCTATCTTCAACCTTGAGAATATCTGTGTCTTAGATACACTATCTGCCGACTATCTATATACAGTAATTTGCTTAGGCACGTTAGACTTAATTGTTTTACTAATCACAAAAATTTGTGCTAACTTACTCTGATCGCCGTGCAACTGTCTTATATTGTATGATACTACCTTGCCTGTTATTGCTGTCGTGGCATCATAAGCATGTTTTGTTATTTCTGGCACAGCAAAAATAAAGAATTTAAAAAAATAAAAAATAAACACGTTTCGGCCTACACAGAAGCCTTTATCTGTGTAGGCCGAAACGTTACAGTTCCGAAAGGAAAAAAAAAAAATCCTTGATCACATGTGTAGCATTAAGCTTCACCTCTGCTAACCACTTAGTTTCAAGACCAGCCTGTTGGACCTTTTGGTACAGTTTTAGACCTATTTATCTTTGCACTAATTGAAAACAAGGATCTATCACTGCAAGGAATGGCTGTCACTGACCAGAGCTGGCTACATATTACACACTAAAGCATGAAAGTTGCTTGGCAGAGAATAGAATAATATGTATATATCCCCATACTAAAAGCGTTACGCTTGTTTCTGAAGATAAAAATATGAACAAACAAAAATGATTTTACACGAATATAAACATTAGTCAAGCAGCAAGTCTGCATTAGAAAAATAGTTACAATAATCAGGGCTGCATTTACTCAAATCTGTTAACAGCAAGTTCTGGCATGTTTACAAAATGCTTGATAGTAGTCTGCCAATACATAGCTATGAATTAAAAATATATTCACATTGCATGTTAATTCAGTGCATATCATTGTTTAATCTATAAATCGCTCGTAACTGATATACAGTAGAAACATTACTATCCATTTTTTCATAAAGCCACAATGGTTCATGAACATAACATTATATGGGATAATAAGAGTCCAATTCATGAAATGTTAGAGTGCATATAGACATTAAAGGATCACTATAGGGTCAGGAACACAAACATGTATTCCTGACCCTATATAGTGTTAAATCCACCATCTAGCCCCCCTGGGCCCCTCATAAATCTAGCAAAATCTTACTGTATTCAAGCTTGAAGCTGGTTGGATTCATTTTAGGCAGCCATGACCCAGGAAGGATCTCTAGCAGCCATCTGAGGAGTGGCCAGTGAAGTTATCACTAGGCTGTCATGTAAACACTGCATTTTCTCTGAAAAGACAGTGTTTACAGCAAAAAGCCTGAAGGTAATGATTCTACTCACCAGAACAAATTCAATAAGCTGTAGTTGTTCTGGTGACTATAGTGTCCCTTTAACTTTCATAAACATGTAAATTAAAGAGGGAAAACAGACAAACATATATACATATGCTACAGTGCCCAGTTCATTAGACAAGGGAAAAGGTTATTTTGACACTGTATAATAAAATATATTGTTTACTCTAGTTTCCCATGTAGGTGGATGAGTGATGGAAACAACCTGTATTACAACAACCATCCAAATGCATTTCCAGGAAATATGTACCACTGTAAGTGCAGATATATTTGTACTTACAGGTCACCCTGGTTCAGGAGGTAGCAGCAACGATCCCCACCTTCTGCACAGCCTCTTTTTTGGCTTGGTGAGCTTGAAGAACAGCTACAGCTTCCTCGACCTGAAATAAATAATTGCTGCTGTATCTATACCATTAAACTCTCCCTTTTAAAATTAAAAATCAAGAATGCATTCAAGTGTTGCAGCAAATTAAATTGTTATATTGGGATGTAAGCATTTTAATGGAATTAGACTTTGACCACTTATGAAATAGCCAATAAGTACTTTTCCAGTTGTAAACTAAAGATTAGCACCACTGATCTTTAGGCCAGGTCTTTACCTTGGAACGCAGAGACTCTGGAGATTCCAGCATATGTAGCAGCTCTGAGTTATCTATTTCCAGCAGCATTCCAGTAATCTTTCCTGCCAGAGAAGGGTGCATGGCTTGGATAAGAGGGAACAGACGTTCTCCTGAAGCAGAGAGAAAGACAGGAGGTGGGATCTGAGGTCTCACTTTTTCCCTGCCTCTCATCAGACACACCACTTCCTTCAACAAAAACCACATGGGACTCACCCAACATCTGCTTCTGTTCCTGTGGTGGAGCAGCAGCCAACATGGAGGCCGTGAGAGGTTCCTGTCCTTGCACATGGACTGCTGGCTGTGGGGTCTGTGAGAAAAATAAAGGATCACATCTGGAATGTAGTATCACTGTACACAGAATTTCATTACCAAGTTTCAATCATGCCTTTCCAACATTCAGTGTAAAACTGTATCTAAAAATAAGCACACAAGTTACAATTTATAAGATCTTCAGTAAACGGACTGTGTGATGAAATACAAAGAAATAAAGTCAAGACATTCATTTACTAAGTTTCATGAACAAATATCCTCTATTTTGTGCATATTTAGGACACGGCAGGGGTGTTCAATTGTTTTGTTTTTTGCAGTGGCTCACTTCAGAAATGTGTGCGTGGGCCGCACTCATTTTTCACAGAGAAAATACACACACTGACCTACAGAAACACACAGGTATTAGATACACAGCTGCATACACTGACCCATGCAGATACATGGATACACATACATACACACACCAACACAAAGATAAAGACACTTCACACTGACATATGCATATCCACACAGTAGCACACATACAGATACCAACAGAGACACATGAAGATACACACTAGAACACATGCAGATACACAGACAGAATGACACTTCAGATACATAGAATGATACACATACAGATATACAGGGGCACTGAGACATGTGGATAAACAGATATACATTCAGATACAGACACACAGAATGACATTCCTACAGATACACATAATCATGCAAAATGAAAACTGTTTCACCACCCTCCTGTTTTCTACCTTTTGGGTGCAGGAAGGTGGCTTCCATGGAGTCCAGTGGCAGGCTGAGAGCTAGCAGCTCTTCCACTCTGCCCCCTCCTCTCCTTCTCCTGGCCTGTCAAGTTCTCTTAGCTGGGAGGAAGTGACTGGCACTATTAAAGGGCTGCAGCACTGAACAGGCTGTTGAAGACACCGTGCCATTAGGTGGAACTATGTGCATGGGCCACCTGATGGGTTCTCTCAACGTGCTGCCGGACATATTTGGCCAGAAGCTGAATGTTGGAAGCTTAGGCCACACAGCAAATTCACACTCATTGCACACCTTAAATGGACACTTAAGGTTTTTTTGGGGGTTTGTTTTTATAATGTTGTAGAGTCCACAGGTGCACTGTGACTTTTAGCAGCACACTGACTCTCCTAGAAACCAGAAGCCAGATCCTCTGCTGCTACAAGCCAAATGTTTTTGTAAAACTCCCACATTTTGCACAGAAATCTGACCAGGATGGCAACAATCAGATGCAAGAGCTGGGCTACATATCTCCCAGCCTTCACAGCCAAACCGCTTTGTGTACTGGGAAAGCTAAAGAACTTTTTTTTCAAACCACTTAACAGTTTGACAAAACAAGAACAAAACATAGGAACTGTACCCAAAGACTGTTTGCACAAAAACACTACAAACTGATACAGTTGTTACAGTGTTCATTAAATCGATGGTATAGATAAACTCCACATGTGTAGAATATAAACCGGTGCATGGGCAGCCAAGATTATTAACCCCTTAAGGACCAGCCTGTTTTTGCGATGTTGTAAGTTAAGTACCAGAGCGGTTTCAAAACTTTTGTGGTGTTTGTGTTTAGCTGTAATTTTCCGCTCTCTCATTTACTGTTCCCATACAAGTTATATATTGTTTTTTTCAGGACAAGACGGGCTTTCTTTACATACCATTATTTGTATCATGTCATATATTTTACTTAAAAAAAAGAAAAAGAAAAAAAACAAACAAGTTTTTGGACTTTTACTTGAAAATGTTTTTACTTATCTACAAAAGCTAATGAAAAAAAACGGCTAAATAGATTACTTTTTTTGCAAGTTATATGGCTATAAGTACAAGAAGGAAATTGTGGTTTCAATACATATATTTTTTAAATGTATCAATAGTGACATTGTAACACTTATCTGTCATAAATCTCTGAATCACATCCCACATGTACATTTTTTTTTTTTTTTTTAAAGTAGACAACCCAGGGTATTCAATATGGGGTATGTCCAGTCTTTTTTAGTAGCCACAACACTAGCCAAAATTAGCATTTATATTTGTTTGCGTGTTAAAAATGCAAGAAACGCTAACTTTGGCCAGTGTTTGTGACTAAGTGGCTACTTAAAAAGGCTGAACATACCCCATTTGCAATACCTTGGGTTGTCTTCTTTTGCAAATGGAATGCCATCATGGGGGTAATTCTCACTCCTGGGCTACTATACGGTCTCAAAGACAACCTAACCAATCTGACAAATTTCAATGAAAAAATAAAAAGTAAAATCAAGCCTTATATTTGACCCTGTAACTTTCACAAACACTATAAAACCTCTACATGTGGGGTACTGTTATACTCAGGAGACTTCTCTGAACATAAATATTAGTGTTTCAGAACAATAAAAAGGATCACAGCAATTTCATCATCAGTGAAAGTGCCGTTTGTATGTGAAAAATGCAAAAAGCATCACTTTTACTGACAATATCTTCGCTGGGATATGTTTTGAAACACTAATATTTTTGTTCAGCGTAGTCTCCCAAGTAAAACAGTTCACCCCCCATTGACAGGTTTTAGAGTGTCATAGAAAGTTACAAATTTAAACACAGTGCTAGCAAATTAAATTCTCTGGACTTTCGGCCTGGATTGTCAGGCAGGTCCCTCAAATTGCAATCAATAAAATTACTTAATTATGTAAAAATATGCACGTCGAATTTAAATATATTTACATATTTATATATTTGAAGTCTACGTGTATATTTAAGAGATTATTTATGTAATTATGTATATGGACATGTATATTTCATATTTTTATTTATACATAGAATCAAATGATCTATAAGTGTATTTTGATATAAATATATACTAATATCAAAATAACGTTAGAATAAAATTTTTTAAAATTATTAAAAATTATTTTTACATTTTCTTTTAGTTATATTTTATAATCTATATACAATAGTTATATATTATAGATACACGTGTGTAATTTAATTATGTATTTTTATATTAATATATGTATATATTATAGATACACGTGTGTAATTTAATTATGTATTTTTATATTAATATATGTATATATAAAACTACACTTAGTATGAAAATTTTATATTATATATATATATATATATATATATATATATATATATATATATATATATATATATATATATATATATATATATATATATATATATATATTTATTTTACACAGTGTTTGATTTTATTTTACTTTATTTCTGATTTTCCACTTGCAGGGAGACTGCCTGTCAGCACAGACAGTCCCCCTGCAGGCAGATACACAGGCACCTATTGCGGTCATGTGATCGAGCGAACACGTGGCCGCGGGGTCCTGATCTGACGCGGGGAGACTGACTGGGCAGACAGGCAGTCCCCCTGGACCGGGAGGAACGCTGGCGATCAGGTAAGAACCCCCAGACCGTTATGACTGTTCAGGACCATCATCGGTCCTCAAGGGGATGTTTCCGATGACTGTCCTGAACCGTCATCGGTCGTCAAGGTGTTAAACACATTTAATAACAGCTAATTCATAAAGGCTTGTGAGCACATTTTAAATGTTACTGTTGTCTTCCATAAAGATATATTAAATATTGGTAGAGCAATGATACACATAAATCTTGTTCCTAACTTAAATAATCCTGTATATTAAAGAAACACTCTAGTGTTAGGAATCAGCATCTCTTCTTACAGATTCATTGACTCAATGCAACCCTATGGGGAGTGTTCTCTGCATCTTCATGCAGAGAGTGGAGATTCTGAATGTCAGCACTGCAATTCTTGCAGGACCACAACCAGGACGTGCCTCTACTGGCTGAGTGACAGCAGCTAGAGGTACCTTTAGGCACTTCTCAGAAAATGCAGTGTGTACACTGCTCAGCCTGCAGGTACAGGTTTTGTGCTCCAGAACCCAATAAAGTGGTTCTCATGCCTAGAGCTTCCCTTTAAAGCAGGAAATAAACGTTTATGTAAGGCATCACAGCCATTTCATTATACACAATCAGTAAAACATACATTTGGATTATGTACCTGTAGTGACTGCACTCCTGGAAGGGGGCAGCGTGTGTATTTGTATGGAGGCACAGCTCGTGGAGGAGGAGCAGACACAGGCGGTCGAGGGCCTACTGTTTGAGTAGCAGAAGACACCCCTACAAAAGGAATATTCCATAAATAGAGTGATATTCTGTTGTGCGCAGGGTAGGGATGGGGTGAGTGCTGAGGTGCTTTTTTATAAAAAATTATATATACATACATACACACACCAAATCAATGCATAAATATCTGGCAAAATGGGAGAAAGGCTGTTTAGCCAAGAAAAAAAAATTCTATGCATGATAAATTGATGCAAACTCTACAGAGTTCAGCATAAGATGCATTTTTAACTTACCAACTCTCTGGGTTATGCTTGGGATGCCACGAGTGCCCTGAGTACTGGAAGGTGGTAAGTGGCGCATTGACTGGCGAGGACCACTCTGCCGTAGTGTATTTGGCATTGGTTGGAACCCTAAGGAAACAGATTTAAAGTAATCTTTTAACCCCTTAAGGACTGAGCCAAATGTACACGTTGTGATCAAAACAAAACCTGGAATTTGCGCTTTATGTCTGTCCAACCGTAATTCACCTCTTTCATATTATGTGCACCCACACTTATTATATATCATTTTATTCAGGGGAAACCGGGCTTTCATGTAACATCAAATATTTAGGTATGAAACATAATTAAATATGAATAAAATATAAAGAGAAAATAAGATTTTTTTTTTTTTTTAATTTTCTTAGTTCTACGTAACATTTTAACAGTGAATGGCAAAATACTGTTTGCTTTTACTACAATAAAATACACATTTGTATTCAGCGATGCCTCACGTGTAAAACAGTACCCCCTATGTACAGGTTTTATGGAGTTTTGGGAAGTTACAGGGCCAAATATAGCCAGTGGTGTATCCTGCTTTTGTGCTGCCCTAGGCAGGACAAAACTCAGGCGCCCCCCCCACCCCACCTTCTAAACACACACACACACACACAGTCAGACAGACACAAACACACGGTCAGACACAAACACACGGTCAGACACAAACACACGGTCAGACACAAACACAGCCGCCATATGACGTCATTCGGGCTCCCAGCCTCACTCTGCGGCGCACGAGTGAGGCATTTGGGGGCGGCTTTTTTTGCCGCCCCCTGGAAAATGCCTTGTTTGCCTCGCGTCGAATACGTCCCTGAATATAGCATGTTACATTTTTCAGTTTTTTCACGTTGAAATTCGGCTGATTGGTTTCGTTGCCTAGTCAAAAGTTAACGTTAATATTTGTGTGTGAAAAATGCAAAAGACTAATTTGAACGTCAATTTTGGCCAGTGTTTGTGACTAAGTGGCTACTAAAAAAGACTGGACATACCCCATTTGCAATACCTTGGGTTGTCTACTATTGCAAATGGTATCCCATCATGGGGGTAATTTACATTCCTGGGCTACCATACAGTCTCAAAGGCATCGTAACCAATCCGGCGAATTTCAATGTGAAAAAACTGAAACGCAAGCCTTATATTTGACTAACTTTTGAAAACACCATAAAACCTGTACCTGTACTGTTACTCAGGAGACTTTGCTGAACACAAATATTTGTGTTTCAAAACAGTAAAAAGTATTACAGCAATAATATCGTCAGTGTAAGTGCCGCTTGTGTGTGAAAAATGCAAAAAACGTCACTTTCACGGACAACATCGTTATAATACCTTCTACGGTTTTGAAACACAAATATTTGTGTTCAGGGATGTCTCCAGAGTAAAACAGTACCCCCCATGTACAGGTTTTATGGTGTCTTGGAAAGTTATAGGGTTAAATACAGTGCTAGCAAATTAAATTCCCTATACTTTCGGCCTGGGTTGTCAGGCAGGTCCCGCAAATTGTAATTAATAAAGTGACCTAATTATGTAAAATTATTACATAAATATACATGTAAAAATATATACACACACACACACTAATATATATTTAATATATATTTTTATTTATATATAGGTATACATATAGTGATATATACTTATGTATATAGATATATATTATTTTGTTCTACGTGTATTTTGATATCTCTATATATATATATATCTATATATAGATATATATCTCAAAATACAGTTAGAACTAAATTACACACATTTTTTAATATTTATTTTTTCACATATTTATTTATTTAAGCTGACACATAGTAACTGATCGCAGTGACAGGCTTTCGCTGCGATCAGATTGCAGTGAGAAGCGGTCTCTGCAATCAGATCGCAGTGACAGCCTGTCACTGCGATCAGACTCTGCAGATCGTGGTCACTAACAGCAGGGGGACTGCCTGGGGGGGCCAGGCATGTCTCCTGACCGCGATCTGCAGCGGGAAGAATACAGCGGATACATGTCAGCCGATTTTAAATTTGGCTGACATGTTAAATACCGATCGCAGTGACCGCCTGTCACTGCGATCGGAGGCTGCAGAGAGTGGTCACTGGGCACAGGGGGGCCAGGCATGCCCCCCCGACTGCGATCTGCAGCAGGATGATGGTGCTAGCCACGTGGGCGGCAAGAACGGCCAGGATGTTCTATGCCGTCCTGCGGCGTTTCGAGCCAACCCCTTAAGGACGGCATAGAACGTCCTGCGTTCTTAAGGGGTTAAATGGAAACCACTTCTCTGGAAATTAGACCATTTTAAAAAAAATAAAAAAAAATCATTGAAATGCACCTATAAATCTTGTTAACCTTTTTGTATGATGTTCTCTTTTCTTTAACTATAACCCAGTTCAAGTATAGCCAAAGCACATATTGCAAATGAAAAGAAATAGAAACATTGTTCATTTTTTCCTCTTCTATGGATGCTTTTCTATGCTTACAATCAAGTGCAAAGGACAGATTGATGGGAAGCCAAGATTGAGGTGCCAATGCACAAAATAAAGAGATAAATTGTAAGGAACAGTTTTATTGTTTGTAGAATTCCTAAAGAAAGAATAAAAAGACTGTTAGGTGACCAAGATGTATTTGAAGTTTGTAAATGTTGCCAAAGGCAGTGCCAAGTACTGACGAACAGGGTGCCCACACCTTGCAAATGCCACATTTACCGTTTAAATTTTTCAGCTGTATTTAGCAAAGACGCAGTAATTGTAAGCTAAAACTCCACTGTAGAAGGAGTGTTACCTTCTTTTTATTTAGAAACTCAATAAGACATCTTTTGTCAGGGGTGCTCAAACATTTGCTACAGTAGTGTACGGCAAGGTCTGTTATGAAGCAGCATACCTTGGGGACGGCCAGCCTGCTGCCAGCGAGGACCAGGTCGCATTTGAGCCATGTGATTGGGTGCATAGTATGTAGGTCTACTCTGGGCCTAGAAAGAAGAAATACATTTATTGTTACCAAGTAATGTATTATCCTTTATATCAGCACTTATGCTCATACAGTTTACCCACCTGTGCTACAGCTGGAACAAAATAACCCCCAGGTGCAGGCTGGAATTGATTGATAAGTGTATTGGCAGGAAGAGCCCTCATTCCAGCTATGCGCTGCATGTACTGATTGGTGAGATGAGCTTTGCGTTCTTCCTTTCTTTGAGCTAGTGCTACATATAAAGGCTTAGAACCTACTATACGTCCATTCATCTCAGTCACCGCTTTAGTAGCCTCTTCTGGAGAAGAAAAGCAAACAAATCCAAAACCTTTGCTGCGCCCATCCTCTAGCATAACCTATTAAAGATATATATAATGAGTTGTTTGTACATACAGAAGATCAAGTGTAGAAGAGGTGTAGAGACCGAACACTAGATAAATTATGCTCCGTCTGGATTTCCTCTGCATTTCTCTAGCACCTATTGACCAGTCCCTGCACTGCACAGCAGGGACAGGATGAGTTGACAGTGCTACAATTGAATGTAAAAATTCCAAGTCTAGCTAAAAACTTCCTCTCACCTTGGCACTTGTAATTGATCCAAATGGGGAAAATTCCTTCCTTAGCTTCTCATCATCAATTGTGTCATCCAAGTTTTTAATGTACAAATTCACCCCCTAAGAAGAAGCAAACAATTATCCATCAGTTACAAGGATAGCAGGTTCAAGGAGGAATTGTATAATCCATAAAACCTATTAAATGTCTATTCGTATAACACATTTTGTATACATATTACCTGATAACGACTGATCCTTTCTTGCTTTAGTTGCTCGAACCTCCTTTTGAGTTCAGCCTGACGTTCAACCTTTTTCTGTGCTCTGCCCACGAACATAATTTTCCCGTTCATGTCTTTTCCATTCATGTCATCTACAGCCTGACAAAAATATAAGTCTGTTAGAGATGCTTAGGTTAAATAAAGCCTCCCCCTGTCCTGACCACACAAGTTAAGCAGAGCTCCCCAGCACCTGGTACTTTCTTGCAGACGTCGAGTGTCTGCCTGGTTCTCCAGGGGAGCTCTTACCTTATTGGCATCTTCGTGCTTTTCAAAGCTGACAAAGCCAAACCCCTTGGACTTGCCACTGGGATCAGTCATCACCTTAACGCTCAGAGTCTTCCCTGCAGCCAAGAGACACCAGTTACCCGCAGAGGTCACAGGGTCACAGCATGCAGGTGCACGGCACACATGATACCAGGTGCCCACATGCGGGAGCGGATTCATAGAGCTCACGAGGTTACCCACAGCATACGCTTGAAACCAGAAGCCCACATGCTTAGGCGGAGCCACGGAGCTCACAAGGTTATCCACGGCACACACGAAGCCAGAAGCAAGTGGCCACGTGGGGCATGACCTTGCATGAAGACCCAGCAAATGACCTCACGCAGTTACCGTATTTGCTGAATGTTTCCTTCAGTCGCTCATCGTCCATGTCTTCCCCAAAGTTTTTGATGTAAACATTTGTGAATTCCTTGGCTTTGGCTCCAAGCTCTGCCTCCCTCTCCCTGCGGCATTTAAAACGGCCAACAAACCTTAATGAAGAAAACACAGATGCTATTATTCAAAGGTTCCTCAAGCAGCCTTCATTTTTGGTCAACAGTAGTTTCTCACCATCCAAACATCCTGTTCTCTCTATGCTGCTGTGCATATATGCAAGTCTATAAAACAAAGAACCCCCTTAAACAAAGGGCTGGTGTAGCAGAGGTGTAGAGACAGAACACTAGAAAAAAAAATGTGCCGTCTGGATTATCTCCGCATTTTTCTAGTACTGACTGACCTGCCCCTTCACCACACAGAAGTGACAGAATGAACTGATAGTGCTATCAACTAGCAATGTTGTTTATTAGCCTACTGGATGTCACTTTTTTTGTATTGCTACATATAGACTTTTAAAAACCATATCACCATCCTAAACTTCTGATCTAGAACATTTCCCTTCCTGCCCCAGAAAATAATGTCCCTCACACTTTGCGGTCGTTAAGTAGCATTCCGTTCATCTTCTCTATGGCTCTGTCTGCAGCATCCTGGGTCTCAAAGTGCACAAATGCGTAACCCTTGGAGCCATTCTCATCACACACTACCTGCAGGAAAAGAGAGTTTTAGAATTTGGCACAGTATATTAATTCCCTTACATGTATCAGAGAGGACAAACTAACCTTACAGGAGAGAATGTTCCCAAATGCAGAGAAAGTGTCATAAAGTGCTTTGTTATCAATTGATTTGTCAAGGTTCTTGATGAAAACATTGCCCACTCCAGATTTTCTGAGGGATGGATCACGCTGGGACCACATGATGCGAATGGGTTTTCCTTTGATTACATCAAAGTTCATAGTATCCAGAGCCCGCTCAGCTATTAAAAATAAAAAATAAACTGTATGTTATAATCATAAACCAAACACCTCAAACCAAAAATATAAAACTATAAAAATGTTATGTAGAGTTATTGAACATAGATTTTTTTTTTTTTCTTTGATGATACAAGCAACTTATGCTTCCCTTGGAAATATGACAATCCACACAAATCAGTATGCTTTTCAGAGAATGCTAATTATCCTTAAACAATTTTGCTTTTCTGTACACTACGGTATTTGGACTTAAATATTGCAATCAGCATGTTTAGCTGAAGGCTCAAATGACCTACAATAAACTTAATTCTAAAATAAAATGGCTTTGGGTCCATAGAAAGATTGCTCATGAGTGTCAGAGTCAAGAAAATAAAAATAAAATGCATTTATGGAATAACTGTTGTATAAACACAAACAGGGTTATTTACTAAACTCCAGAATTTTGTAAATAACACATGGCAAAACTAATGTAAAAAAGTATGTTAAAAAATCTCCAACTCTGTAATGGTCACAGTTTGTCCATTTTTGCCTCAATTTTGAGATTCTGAATTAATTTTTAGAAATTGACTATCACTAAAATGAGAATTCAAAGTGAATTTCACATCTAAAGTCAAAATAACCAAACTAGAATAATTCTCTCACTAAGCTTTCAGTTTGACTACTCTCGCTTCAAATATGAAATTCACTTTGACTATACAGTTTAGTGAGTAAACCTGTTTATTATAAATTATATCATTAGTTCAGTGAATGAACTTTGTACTGCTGTGGCAAAAACTGTAGAGATCGACCTGTTTTAAATAAACACTCAATTACTTTCTTCTACCCTGTTTGAGACATTGTTTGCCTTCATGCCTATTTTTGTAATTTTAGTTTTTAATGGAGAATGGATGTATCTTTTCTGCCAAAACGTTGTTTGTCTCCTTGAAGTGTCATATCATTTATATATAATGATTTGTACTGTGCTTATACGAATGCAATATTGTAAGTAAGCACTCACAAGACGACCTAAATGTTCTGGATAATGAACATAGGAATTAGAGTTGATGATGTATAACAGTAGGTAGCGCTCCAGCATCTATTGAAACTACAACTTCCATTCCAAGCAGTCAACTCTGGCCAACATTCAAAGTATAGAAATTAAGTGATGTCACTCCATTCAAAGGCTGTCAAAGCAGGTTTGTTGGAATCCCAAAGGTGTTTTGTCTTCTTGAGCAAGTGTCCTCCAACATGGCAAATTAAATTTGAGCATGGTAAGGACCAAAAATTAGTATTACAATACAGCAACACCCATTGAGTTGAGGACTTGACAACATTGAAGCGAGTGGAGGAACTACCAGCAGTGCACCGGCTGCACCTGGGCCCAACACACGGAGGACCCTCCTCCCCCCATCAGGTGGCTCGTGCATTTAGGGCCATCCGATGGTTACTTCGTCCCAGCTAACATGCATAGAGCCACACTGGAGAGAGAGACGGGCAAACTGACTCAACAGCCCCAGCCAGCAAAAAGCCACCCTCCTGTTCCCAAAAGGTAGGAGACAGGAGGGTTGATAAAAGAAAACTAGCATGTATGAATGCATGTTTTTCATTGTGCCACTGTGTGCATCTGCATGCATGCCAGTGTAGCCGCATGCATGTCAGTGTTTGTATCTACATGTGAGTGTGTACACATGTATATGTGTGTATACATGTGTATGTGTGTATACATCTCGGAAAACAAATGCCAACACTACCCACAAATACACCTCTGCATTCAAACATCTAATACTACATACAAACACACTGCAGTAATAAAATACCATTATAAACATACCCCTGCATTTAAAAATCAACACTACATACAGACACACCCTACATTCAAAAGCAAATAACACACAAGTACACCACTGCTTTCCAACAGCAACAATACATAAAAACACAACTGCATTCCGATACCAACAATACACATACATACTCCATATAAAAACACGCTTACAGAACACTTTCTCCGAGTTCCGCAACAACTTACTATATTCGATTGTTTTAAAAGTGCTATCTGGCCAACAAACAGGTTACAACCCTTACCTTCCACAAGGTAACCAACATGAGTTGAAAAAAAAACCAAGAAACCCAAAGCCAACAAAGACTTACCAAGCCAGGACATCAGGGAGCTGTTCCGCAATAAGCAGAAGGCCGCATGGGACAAGATGGCGTCCCTCGACGAGGGTTCTTGTTCCTCAGAGGATTATTCCGCTGACCCGGGGGAAGGTGCCGCCATCAATCTAAACACGGGACCCAGGCTACGTAAGCTGGAGGACAGGGAGCCTGTCACTGAAACTCTGCAACCCCCCATGGTAAGGCCTTACCATGGCCTTGACATCTTTGACAATCTTCAGATTCTGGTAGCTTCACAGACAATGTGACAAAGGTGCACTCTTGCATTTTACAAGTCAATTCTGTAAACAACCTCAACACTGATACCCCTGTGGCCAAACATGTAAGACATACACATGCAACCAATCCAGAAGTACTCCAATTTCAAGCAATACAAAAGTTTTCACTTAATCATCGAAAAGGGGACATCAACGTCACTCTGCTGAGGGCAGAGTCACGATGGATTTATTCCTTTAAGACTATCTCCAAAAGGACTAAACGAAAAATTTAATTTTACCCTGTTCATACTTTCATGATTATTGTTGCTTTTTATATATTTCATACAGTTTTTGCTAACTTCATCATTTCCCTTTTTCAATATCATTGTATTTAATTATTTTGCTTTCAATAATTTCTCGCCGTTCTAAGTGATCTTTGTCCTTACCATATAAATTATTTGTCACTTTATATATGGATCATCGTATCACTCATGATTGCTTTTGTCTACTTTGAGTCCCCTGTAAACTTTGCTCTTTCAATGTGCATCTGTTTATATAATTTGTCATGCTACAGTAATAATCTAATCACTTCAGGTACAAACTATGTTTTTCTTTAGTAGAAATTCTCTAATCATGATGAGAAACTATTTCCCTGATTCACATTGTACTCTTATTTCTTTTGAACTGGAGTACACGATGGAAATGACAATTAATATTCCCATCACTGATCACATGATTAAGAGTTTTTATGTGGCAAAGATCATGCCCTACTTTGGGCTACTAACATACCAGACACTAAAACGTCATTACTATATTATGACCGCATTATATTACTAATTCATGGTTCCCAATACCATAATGGCTGTCTCATGTATGAATCATCATATAACAGCCACTTCAACTGTTTAACTAAATGACTTAGCAGTTTAGTTTACTTGAACGGGATTACTAATTTTGCAGCCCCAAGAGGTATCTATATCTACATTACCGTAGGACACTCTTTCAATAAACATTGAGTGATCCATATTGGACATATACATTAAACAAATTCTTTGCCTAATTAAGATATTAACACATATGGGTTAATACATCAGTGAAAGTGTTAATCCCTTGCATATTACACTCCTGGCTGTCATCTCCCCTAGGCAGATTTTGTCCTATGAGAACTACAGAATGACCAAGGAGACATCCAATCAGGGAAGGAGGTGCCAAATTTAAACCTCAGTTTTTATGGACACAGCTCCCCTGGAAGAGCCAGTTAGTGGCGAAAAGCGCGTTGGGCAGTTGTGTGGGAGAGTGGCTCAGGATTTGGGGAAGATGCTGCAGCTTTACTTTTGATTATATTCAACAGCCAACTCATACTTCGATTTTATCGTTTGTTTATTTTCCCATTTTCATTTTGCTTTTCTATCTTGAGTTTAATGTAATCAGGGAGAATCTTATACTTATAGGGGTGCCTTCGAAGGCATGTTAACAGTTTATTTAGCTATATTAGCAGCCGTAGGGGTGCCCTCGAAGGCACAATAGGTATCTATTCCTTTCCGTACCCTCTTTGCTAACTTGCATCTAACATCAGATACTTTTGTTTCTCTCTGCCTTTTTTCTTCGAAACTTGACATATGTTCGGCAGTTATTTTTATGTGGCAACAGACTATACATCACACAGATTCATTATTATATATATTACTTTTTTCATTACTATTTTAAATGAGTCAATAAATGTTAAGTTTTATCTCAATTAATTTTGCTTACTATTAATGGGTTGCTTTCTTTCATTAAACTTATTGTTGGAACTTAATTTAGTTACACCTTTCTTTTATTAGTAGTCCTTGTTTTTGTTCTCGCTCTTGCATATAGTTTATATGCACTCATGCATATGCAAGTAGAAAATAGGGGCTGCATGGAAGAATCCTGAAAGGTCACTGGATCCTCCAGATTCCGCTCAAGAGACCCCAGAACTGCCAAGTGCACAAGAAGATTTAATTTCCCTAAAGAAACTTTACAGAGCAGTTGGGAAATGATGAAAATATGTGGGCAGTGGACGCTACTCTATGCTCTGACCTTTGCCAAAAAACAATTTGCACATAAACAGTAGTCCTCACTTTGTTTTATGTTTTGCGGTTGTATTGGGATTCTAATTAGGTCCTGACACACATCATCCATCTTTGTGAAAATCTGTGCCACTTTAAAAAGAGTCCAATTCAATATTTAATGCTCAAAAATATAGTTGATCCATAATAATATCCATAAGTTGTACAACAGCCTGAAATCTACCAGGCGACCCATGTTTTATCCTAGTAAAATAGCCCAAAAGCATGACACTTGCACACTAACATTTGCACACTTGCATTATTATAATTATTAGAGATTAGCCTTATTTCAAACGTCTTGCAAATACTTCTATATGCAGCTCCACACAACATACAGCATAATATGCCTAAAAGAAAGACGTTTTGTATCTATCCTCACAAAATGTATAAATAAATCACTCCAGTTCAATATATTCTGGATACATTTGCTAGGCGCCTACACCTTGGATAAGGGTGTTAGTGTGTGATAAACAGTAAATAGTGTTGCGTTCTGCTTCCAGTGTAAATGAAACCATGCAGAAGAGGGGTCAGGCTGTGAAAGCAGACATGTAACCAATAAATGCACTCCACTGGACAGCAGCTGGCCTTTGGATGTGTTTATTTATAGCGGTGCAGAAGGGTTGCGTGTGCACATGTTTAGAATGCAAGCCTAAAATGCAACTCAAGTAACTATCATAGAAACACTAAATGTTTGTGAGAGTTCTATAAATCCGTTAGGAATTAAATTCTGATACTTCACATGGCATTCCACTTTCTACCTCTCCATTGAGTCATATGGGGCCCAATCATCATGCATAGGTAATGTTTCTGTCCATAGCTCCATATTCAGTATTTTGCCCAGTTCCTCCAGATGGCATTTTAATAAGCCAAACATGCAGGTAGTGGCAGACACATTTATTAGAATGGGTTAATTTTACATTTTGTTGGACCTTAAAACGTGACTCGTTGTCTATACACGTCCTGCCCATGCCATCCACAGGCTGCCTGGAGAGAGACCGAGGACTCACCATCTGCCGGCTGCTGGAAGTTCACATAGGCATATCCCAGGGAGCGGCGGGTGATCATGTCTCTGCACACCCGGATAGACAGCACGGGGCCCGCGGGGCTGAACTTCTCATACAGCATGGCCTCCGTCACATCGGGGTGCAGGTCACCCACATACAGGGAGGCCATGGGGTAACTGCTGGCCGCGGTGTGCATCCCCCCAGCGCCGGTACCGGGGACTGGCTGGAGAGAGAGGAGAGCTGGCTAGCTGGGGGGGGGAGGTGGGCTAGCTGTGTCTCCACAGGAGATAACACCGGGCTGTGACAATGCCGTGGCGGTGGCTGGGGGCAGTCTGGCTGCAGACGGCCGGTTACTCGGGGCCGGTGTGTGGCTCACTAATGGCCGGGTGGCTTTATTTCAGTGTTAGAGGGCTGTCCTGCTACACGGGCCCCGGGTACCGCCGAGTGACTAGCTCTGGCCGGATCCCCCGCTCGGCAGCGAGGACAAGAAAGACCGGTAGAGTTCAGGAGCTCGGCTTTTATATCCGGGTCACAGGGCAGCCAGGACACCGGGAATGGCACAGCGACCCCTGCCGAGCGCCCCCGGCACTGCACCCGCCGCTCTACCTGCACCGCCATGCTGTGTGTGGCAGGCTGGGAGCGGTGACAGCGGCCACACCGAGCATGGTGTCAGGGGACGGGGAACATGTCCGCATGGGTCTCTGCACGTTATGTCTGGCTGTAACCTTTTTTTTTTTTATCCATGGCTCGGTGTTTTTGTTGATATTTGGTTCACTGGTCGCCATCTTACCGAGTCTTCATGGAGAGCCACCATCTCACCTATATTGGGATCATTATGTACTATTGGTTGGCACAGCATGTTAAATAATATGGGTTTAATACTTCATATTTCTGTACACTATTATTTAACTGCAGGGTTTCTAAAGCAGACCTGCGTATTTTATTTTTTTCTAACACTTCATAGCAGACAACAGAAAGGACTTTATTGTAATTCAAGAAATTGTGAAGCTCCTCGTTTATTTTTTAATTATACATTATTAAAAAGTATGAAATGCCAGATACCAAAGGATTTTTTCCCCCAGTCATCATGGTCATTCTTATGACTCTTAGGCTACATCCCTCCATAATGCCAGTGCTCTAAATATTGAAGAAATACAGATGGTCATTGAGTCTACATCTTCCTCACCTCTGACTCCAGTATTCCACAAGTTAAATGTTCCAGGTCTGAAAGAACTCCCCAAGTTCACCCCTGCCTCTAGCACCTATTTACGTTTGGCAGAGGTAGTTCAGCAGTCCTCTATATCCCCTCTATCCCCAATCTATGATTGCTGTATTTATACGATTTCAATATTTCCAGTTAAGTTAACCCATTTCATTAATTTGTTCCTCGCCAGACCCATCAAGCCTTTTAAGGCAATGAACTTTAAAAATGTATTTACTGCTCTTAAACCGATTAGTCATCACGTCTCAGAGTTCTACAGACTTATCCAATACAACACAACAATTGTTTTTGCTATAATTTGGTCTAAAGAGCTACATCTTCAACTTGTACAGGGTACTTACCTTTCTAAGCTCATCATCTACAGACTCTCATATGTATTTAGTTAATTACAAATTAATCAGTAGATGTCATTTTACACCTCATGCCCTCGATCAGATATCACAATATACCCTTAGTGTGTTGGATATGCAGCAAGGAGCCATGCTCAACTGCCCATATATGATGTCAGAAAAGTAGACAATGTTGGACAACGATACATGTATTGATATGCAATATCACCTCCTCTCATATCACCTTCTCCCCTGCCTCAATACAATTCCATTGCACCCATCAGTCATTGCATCAGTTTAAATGATCCCTGATCCCCCTACATACTCAATGTGGCTAAGAAGTTAATTCCAGCAAACTGAAGGACTGATTCAATCTCATCCATTAAGGAATGGATTGATAAAGTTAAATACCTTAGTGCAGATTCATTACTCCTTGCTGGTCTTCCATACTTACCTGAGCTAAGGGGGCCCTGGTTCAACTTTCCTTCAACCATTTAGATAGATTTTATATGCTTTGGTGTCACAATCTCTCCCTTGCCCAAGATATGATCACAATGGGAACCCATAGGACTGCTACCACTCATGGTTCCCTCTTGTCAGGAATGGAATGGGATCCAACACGCAAAATGTAGACAAAAGGTAACGTATACCGGACCTTAGAATGGCCGGACTATCGTTAGAAGAACAAAGAGAAGTCAGAGTCAAGCCAAGGTCAAGGAGTACAGCAATAAGGGTAAACGAGAATACTAAAGCCGGGTCAAAGGAGTATAGAATGGAGATTAGTCAAAAACGGAGCCAAAGTAAGTAACCAGAATACTGAATACAGATAAAGCACTATTGGGACAATAATGAACCACAACAGGGCAAAGAACGTCATAAAAGGGGGCGTGGATATCGTCGCCAGCATGAAAACCGTCGGAGAACGAAGAGGGATGCTGGAGAGGATCCTTCTCCTCCTGTAAGTGGTGAGTACCATGGGGGACATCTCTGGTTACCACAAAAGGCACCCTGACAGTACCCCTGCCATCCCCCTCCCTTCCAAAACAGCCTACCAGGCGAAAGGACCCTAGATGAGACAGAAAACGGGAATGGAAAGAACGGAGAAGACAAGGAGCATGGATATCGGAACAGTCAACCAAAGATCTGTCTTCAGGACCATAGCCTTTCCAATCCACCAGACATTGCAATTTACCATGAGAGAAACGAGAATCAAAAAGATCGGATCTCGTCTTCCTCCAGACCCTCCACTTGCACTGATGAAGGGGTAACAATATGACTGGTAAACCTATTACAGGTCAAAGGCTTTAATAAAGAGACATGAAACACCTTAAGAATTCGCAAGGTCGAGGATAAATCAAGACGATAAGCAACAGAGTTAACATGGGCTACCACCATAAGGACCAAGAAACCAAGTGCCAGTTTCATAGAAGGTACCTTCAGGCAGATATGTTTTGTGCTTAACCAGACCTTATTACCCGGTTGAAATACAGGAGCGGCACATCTACGCTTAGCATGTTTTTTTTTTAATCGAGGTTGGATTTGCTAGAGAGGAGATATTAAGCTTGCTCCTAGGTCTACCTTAGGTTTTCTAAGTGTCCATCAACCATCGGCATTCCCTGTGATAAAAACGTGGATGGGAGAACAACTGGATGAAAACCATAATTTAAGAAGAATGGGCTGAGTTGAGTAGCATCGGAAACTAAGCTGTTGTGTGCAAACTCAGCCCAAGGAAGCAAGCTAACCCAGTCATCCTGATGGTATTGCTTGATCTTCTGATTAGTACATTCTGCCCTGTTAGATTGGGAATGATAAGCTGAAGAAAAACTGAGAGTTATACCCAATTGTTTACAGAAAGCCCTACAAAATTTTGAGATAAACTGTGAACCCCTGTCAGATATTATTTCTCCAGGTATTCAATGAATCTGGAATATTTCCCTGGCAAAGATCTTGGCCAATTCTGGTGTGTGTAACTTCGCCAGAGGTACAAAATACGCAATTTTGGTGAACCTGTCAATGACAGTCAAGATAATGGTTTTCTTTTCGGAAGTAGGTAAGTCGACAATGAAGTCCACGGCTATACTGACCCAGGGTTTGTTAGGGATATCTAAGGGTTGAAGCAGACCACATTGGAGAGCAAGAGACGGTTTAGTTCTAGCGCAAATAGTACAAGCCTTAACATATTCCTTACTATCCTTTCGCAATGAAGGCCACCAGAATTCTTTGGCAGTTAGGGAATATGTCTTGCGAATACCTGGATGACTTGCGATTTTACTGTCATGAAAATGGACGAGTATCTCATTCTGGTATTCAGGAGGAACATATAGACATCCTTCTGGGATAACTCCAGGCGCCTGTGACTGAATAGCAACTGTTAAAAACCGTTTAGGCGATATTCCCCTTTCTCAGCTGCACAGACAGCTACTGCAAGCACCAATCTCCCGAACTGGAAACTCACGAATTCACCAACTCCCGAACTGGAAACAAGGGAATACTCGAAACTCCCGAACTGTATACCAAGTAGCACTCCCAACTCCCGAACTGGAGACACACGAATAGCTGCTAGCAGACGAACAGGAAAAACCCCCAAGTGGCTTACACTCCTGGCAATCAGTCTCTAACAGCCAGGGCCGGACTGGGGATACACAGCAGCCCTGGAAAAAATCTATGCCAGCCCCATGTCATTGAGCCTTGTGTGTGTGTACATATATATATATATTTGTGTGTATAAATTAGTAACTGGCGCAGGATAGTGGAGTGCAGGGGAATGTTGGTGTGTGAATGCAGATTAGAAGGGGTTGAGTCGCCAGCCAGATGTGAAACGTTATGAGCCACCTCAAATGCTTGTGCACAGTATTTTTATTTATTTTTAAATTACATTTTATTTATTCAAATATGTACACAACTTCAATTTGTGTGTATGCAGGGGCACATTTGTATTGATAGTTTTATGTGTGGGTGTATATGCAGGGCCATATTTGTATGTAGCTTGTGTGGATACAGGTGCATATATATGGAGCAGGTCAATGTGTTTAAATGTAGGGACGTGTGTGTGTGGAGAGTCTGTGTGTGTGAATGCAGGGATGTGTCTGGAGGCTTGATGAGCGTAAAGGTGCAGAAGTGTGTAGTGGGCCAAAGTGTTCTTGTATATGGTGGACACTGACTCTCTGCGTGAATGAAGTGGTCAATTTGTATCCCTCATTGTCTGTAGTGCATTTCCATCTGCAATAGCTAGTAGCCCATTACTGCCCCATAGTTTGTAGTCTGTTTTTTTCCCTCCTATTTCCCATAGGTAGAAGAAGCATAGTCTTTGCCCTCTGTAGTTAGTAGCCCATTCCCTCCCCCCCATAGTTAATAGCCTATGTTCCTCCTCTTCCCCTATAGATAGTACCCAATCCCTCCCATAGAAGTAACCTACTCACCTCTTCTCCCCTGTAGGTAGTACTATATTCTCCTCCTAGTACTCAATTTTCCTCCTAACCCCATAGATAGTATACATTCTACCTTCCAGTCCACCTCCCCATAGATAGTACCCCAATCCCTCCCCCATAGATATTGCCCCAATCACTCACCTTATAGACAGTGCCCCAATCCCCCTCCTCATACAGTACCCCAATCCCCCTCCTCATACATAGTACCCCAATTCCCCTCCTCATAGATAGTGCCCTAATCCCCCTATTCATATATAGTACCCCAAACCCCCTCCTCACATATAGTGCCCCAAACCCCCTCCTCCTAGATAGTGCCCCAATCCCACTCCTCAAAAGTATTGCCCCAATCCCTCCCCCATAGATAGTGCCCCATTCCCCCTCCTCATATATAGTACCCCAATTCCCCTATTCATATATAGTACCCCAATCCCCCTCCTCGTAGATAGTGCCATAATCCCCCTATTCATATATAGTACCCCAAACCCCTCCTCATAGATAGTGCCCCAATCCCACTCCTCATAAGTATTGCCCCAAACCCTCCCCCATAGATAGTGCCCCAATTCCTCCCCCATAGATAGTGTCCCAATCCCTCCCCCACAGATAGTGCCCCAATCCCCCTCCTCATATTCCCCTTTATTCCCCTGCTCATATATAGTACCCTTATTCCCCTGCTCATATATAGTACCCTTATTCCCCTCATAGATAGTGCCCCAATCCCTCCCCCATAGATAGTGCCCCAATCCCCCTCATATATAGTACCCTTATTCCCCTGCTCATATATAGTACCCTTATTCCCCTCATAGATAGTGCCCCAATCCCTCCCCTGTAGATAGTGCCCCAATCCCCCTCCTCATTTTCCTGAGGGGGGGTCAGCAGTGTGTTAAATAGACTCCCCCCTAATGCACTCCCCAAATGTAATACACAATAGATCCCCCAAGCCCTTTTACTCCTACCTGTACTTCAAGTCAGGATGCCGACAGGGCAGCTCAGCTCAATAGTGATGGATGGTCTGCACAAGCAGGGAAGGGATGCCGCCGCTTTGCTGCGTAGTGTAGAGCCGCCGCCGCGCAGCCGCCGGATATGACGTCATATGCCGCTCACATCCGGCGGCTGGTGAAGGAAAAATCTTTGCACTCGCGGCTCTAATTTCTGACAATCAGCTGCAGAAGCACAGCCGCGGCCTGAAGGACAAATGGGAAATAAATATTTTCCAGTCTTGTGGGTGCAGCCACATGTCAAAGCGGCCCCAGGGTCGGCGGCCTACCAGGAAATTTCCCGGTATCCCGGTAGGCCAGTCCGGCCCTGCTAACAGCATACAGTAAATCCCCCCAAAGACTTAGTTTTGAGGGTCAAGCAGAATCTGGTTTACTGGGGCTAACTGCCCGGCTTTTATGCAGGTCTCCCACCTGGTGGACACTCCCCTAGAGGACCAGATGGGAGACTGGGACACAAAGGGTACAAGCACCAATCACAGACTTACACATTTCAACCATCCCACAATGCATCACAATCCCTCCTCTCTGTCCTGGAGATAAGTGGGAAGTAATCCAATTATCTCCCAGGACAGAGGCAAAAACTCCATTAACCACATGTTAGTAAAATACATAAAATTACATACCGTTACATTTACTACATAAAACATAGACATTCTACATATCCACAGATAGCTTAGATCTGAGCGCACATTACTACCGAATGGCGCTCAGATCACATACATACATTTCAATCGCCATGGAGCCAAAGTCTTTCACATAGTCTTTCGTTACACGAACAGGCTCCATGGCTTAGCTATCTGAGGTAATGCTGTTCACCCGGTGAAATTACCGAATGAACAGTCATTCGGTTCCGCTACCGAATGAGAAGGTAAGGAGGCTGGCGGCTCAGCGGTGTTCGCGACAAAAAGTGTCCGTTTTCAGTTCCATAGTTTGGGCGCTGAACACCGCTGGCCGTTCGGGAGGTAAAATGGCCGCTGCCACGTGTTCGGCAACCGAACAAAGGCCACCCAGCGTTTATCAATTAAGTTGCGGTTAACCGCAGCTTCTGGGCGGTCAATTGACGGCACACTCCAGGTGGTCCATCGTTCGGTAGTTTGTTCGGTAGATGGAATCTACCGAACACCCTGGCAGAAAGGCACGAATAAACCTTTCAGCAGGGAAAATAACAGGTCTGAACTGCAGGGCCATAGTCTGAAGGGAGCAGGCGAGCAACCAGGCTTCTCCAGTGCATGGTGGCGAGGTTGGTTCCGCCACAGCAACAATATCTGTCACCAGGGGAGACTGTATCTTGACACTAGTATGAGCTTTGATGTGTTGTTTGGGTACCACAGAAGATACCTCAAAAGTAGAATCGACAAACGATTCATATTGACGAGACAATGCATCGGCTTTAGAATCCTTCGAACCAGGTCTGTACGTTAACAAGAAGTTAAATCTTGTTAAAAAAAATGGACAATTGGGCTTGCCTAGCAGAAAGACGTTTGGCCTCTCCAATATAGGAAAGGTTTTTATGATCTGTTAGGATAGTCACTGGAAGTAATGTACCTTCTAACAGGTGTCGCCATTCTTTTAAGGCTAGGATTATAGCAACGAGTTGTCTGTCTCCTATGTAGTAACGTTTTTCTGTATAAGATAATTTTCTAGAATAGAACCCGCAAGGGTGTAGTGGTAGTTCAGGACTTTGTCGTTGGGACAACACAGCTCCTACACCAGTCTCTGAAGCATCTACCTCTAACAGAAAAGGTAGACTAGGATTAGGATGCACTAAAACAGGGGCAGAGGCAAAGAGAAAGCAGGTAGAAAAGAGGAGAAATTAAACAATGGGGGATATTTATATTAAGTGTTTATTGATCTAAAAAGTGATGGTTTTCTTTAAAGTAAATTTGGGCAAATTTTCGGTACAATATTTGAAGTGGGAAAAATTTGGCCACTTTTCTGTTGGAATAAGTCTTTGAAAAATTGATATATCTGTTGTGTCACTGAAAAAAATATATATATATATTTAAAACTGAGCAATGTTAGCCCTGGTATTACCTTATCTCATCTGCATTATGATATACTTTGCTAACTCTTTAATATAAATATAAAAGAAATCTGAGCATCTGTCATGTTACCTGTTGCATTAAAGGCCGCCTCTGCATCAGTTTTCTAATCTTGTTGCTGGTTTGACTCTTTCCCATGCCATTCTTCCTGATCCTCCTCTACTCTTGTAACATTTAAAAAGGAAATAGAATGCAGCTCCCTGTGTCAATTTATGATGCAAATTACGCTTCTATAGATCTTTACACATGCATACATGCGTCAGCTATGTAATAATGTAGTCGCACATTCGGGTGTCACACATGTGAGGCTAACCAATAGGAATGCCTGTGTGCCTATTTATTGCCCTGTTTTGGCTTCCTCTTGGTTCCTGTGTGATTTTCATGCATATTTGACCTTGACTTGTCTTAATATTGTGCAGAAAACAAGATAATCTATATATGCTCTAAAAACGTATTGGGCCCTCTAAGGAAAAGTGTTCCCTCAAGATACTTAACAGCAATACAGAAAAAAACAAAATGGGAAAACAGAATACGTATAAAAATCACCAAAAGTGAGTAATCATAAAAATATTTACAACTTGTATACACAATATAAAAAAACAGTAAGTCAAATAATATCTGGAAAAAAAGAATAAATATAGGGCAGTAAAATAAACATAGGGGGAGAGGGTGGGGGTGGTAGAGAACTTACTGAATGGATGGAAATTACATGATTTTGCTATTTCATGACGAAAAGTCATGATTTGATGAAAGACACGGAGGCGAGTATTGTTTAACCCTTTCTTTACTGTCCACCAATAGCATACAAACAGTAAGAAAAAATGGTAACCATAGTGATAGACCACTCCCATACCAAGTTCCAGTATTATAGTCAGCACCTCCCCACACAATTCCTCTTTCTTTGGAGGTGCGACACCAAACCAAAAAACAGGAACCGATGAACAGTCCAAAACTCAGCAGACCAAACCATCCCGAAATCCAGCCAGCTAGTTATCAGGAACCATCTGTGAACTGGGACTAAACTGGTGAAGTCTTGGGAAGAAGTGAGGATCTTTATACAGCACCAACAGCGCAGAATCAACCAGTGAAAACATAAAAAACAGGAGCCCAACCGTTAAATCGGTACTAAAACCAATTGCTCATGCCAAGATATAATATATTGATTTACTGAAACCACATAGTTCCCCTAATGTCAGACAAGAGAACCACCACCAGGCCAACATAACATTAACAGTACGGATGCACATAAAAAGGCAATACCACGTTGAACTCAGTGCAATACTTACCAACAACGGGGGGGGGGAAATACAATGATAGAAAAATAATAGGGTGGGACAATACTCGCCTCCGTGTCTTTCATAAAATCATGACTTTTGTCATGAAATAGCAAAATCATGTAATTTTATGTCAAGACACGGAGGCTCATATTGCAAGTTTAAAGCTGATCAATAACCGAAGAGAAAAGATGTGTTGAAGGCCGAAAGTAAAATTCTCTGAAGGTGGATTCGCGGGACCAGTCCACAATCAGGTCTTCCAGGCGTGCTTCCAAAGACACCATAGACGTGGCTGAAGCCCCTCGTGCGGAGTGAGCGCCAAAGATGGACGTATCCACACCGGCCAGTGCAGGAGAGGGCTGGCAGCATTAGGCCTGGGGGGCAAAACCAGTCAAGTGGCCCATTGCACCATCAAATCAGTGCAATGGTGCCCACCTTTTCCTGGTTTTATAACGGATATTGATGTTATGCTAATCAGTAGCTCTTTGCCATACCCGCTCCTTCACGGCTCTGACTTTCAATGTTGTCAGAGCGCAGGCTGAGAATCTCTGAGCGTGTGCTCTGACTCACTAACTGAGCGCCGGAACCACGAGGGAGAGGCTATAATCTGACTGCACCTACTGCTGGTGCGCACCAGTGGACCACCAGCGAATCGTTTAAATTGAATAGGCTGGTGTCCCCAACTTGTGAGCTGTGTTGTCCGCCGGGTGCCTCTGTTGTGATGGCACCCTGCGTGACCACACAGCGTGCACACCCCAACGGCTGGCCCTGCTGACACACACTGATGTTACTACTTAGAAATCTCTCAATATTAATACAGACATCAGAGTAAACACCAATAAACTGTGGAAACAGAGCTGATCCCCCCCAAATTTATAAAGATTTGCTTACTGGATTTGTTGTAAGATTAAATCATGCCTCCTCTCTCTCTCCCATGCGCTGCTCTGCAGTGGCGTCTCCAGCATTCATATTTAGGGGGGGCACATGGGGGGCCAGTGACAAAAGTGGGGGGGCAATTATAAAACGTATGTGTGTGTGTGTGGTGTGCGTATATACATATACATATATATATACGCACACACACACACACACACACACACCATACCCCATGGACAACATGTATACGTTTAAAAAATTCTGATTTCCAGCAACATTGTGAAATATGCTAAAGTTTACCTACTAGGTAACAATATCTCAAGGTGCCATAATGATTACAAAATTTATAGTTTTTTTAAAAATAGTATTTATTTTCAAAATAATATATAACATGCAATTTGACTGGAATGTAACTTAACATTTTTATATAAATATTTCACAAATAAAGTAAATGGTAACTTAACAGTGTATTCTCTACATTTCACGGTACAAGCATTTTAAAGTGACAGAGTCCCTTTAACAAACACCATAAAAATTTGCTTTTTAAAAGGCTAACACCAAATTAACTTGTCTTGTAAGAAGAGCAGATTTAGCTCTACTTCCATGAACAGCTAAAACTGGTTGGCCCTTTATAGTGCAAATTTAAGTATATAGATTAAATATTAAATATTAATTATAACTTAAAATCACCTTTAAATTCACTATTAATCTACTAAATTGTAAACATCGTAAAATGAAGTGAAACAAATATTTTGCTCCTAAAGCATATGCAAAAATAGTTATATATATAGTCATGGGAAAAAGAAAGTATACCCTTGCATTCTATAGTTTTACATATCAGGACATAACAATAATCTGTTCCTTATGTAAATACAATCTCAGATGAACAACAACACATGACATATTACACTGTGTCATGATTTATTTAAATAAAAATGGAGAAGCCATGTGTGAAAAGCTAAGTACATGTACTGCGTCCATAGCAATTAAGAGGCTAGGTGCAGACAGGTGATGCAAATCAATTGCCCTTGATTAATTGATCATCAGTAAGTGTGACCACCTCTATAAAATCTGAAGTTTTATCAGGAGCATTCAGGTATGTGTTAACACAATGCCAAGTAGGAAATACATCAGCAATGATCTTAGAGAACCAATTGTTGCAGCCCATTAAACTGGGAAGGGTTATAAGGCCATTTTCTAAAATTTAGCCCATCATTCTACAGTGAGAAAGTTTATTCAAATGTGCAAAACCTTCAGGACAGTTGCCAATCTTCCCAGGTGTGGATGTCCTAATAAATTTACTCTGAGGTCAAAGTCTAAGTTTTACATCTCAGTCTCTACAAGCCTCAGCACGTTAAACCTAATTAAATTGCTGTGGCGGGGCCTTAAGAGAGCTGTGCATGAACAAATGTTGGAAAAACCTAAATAAATTGAAACAATGGTGTAAGAGTGGGACAAAAATTCCTCCACAATAATATGAGAGAGACTGATAAAGTCATACAGAAAATTATTACTTCAAGTTATTGCTGCTAAAATGTGGCTTTGCAAGCTATTGAATCATAAGATGGACTTTTTCACACGTGACTTCCCCATTTTAGCTTTATTTTTGTTAAATAAATCATGACACAGTATAATGGGTTGTTCATCTGAGGTTGTATTTCCCTAATTTTAGGACATGTTAGGTAACAGATGATTGTAATTATGTCCTGATATGTAAAACCATATAATTCACACGGGGTGAATTTTTTTCCAATGACTTTATACAATATATATTTTACTCCAACAATTAAAGTGCCATGACAAAAGAAAGCAAAATATAAAGTCTCAGTTTTTGTTTTTTGCAGCATATAGAAGACATACAAGTGTACCAAACAGGCACTAGCTACCAACTAATGCACTGTAACAAAAAAAAAAAAAAAAGGTTCATAGAAGTAGGTATGAACTATCCCAATGGAGAGAAAAGCACAAATAAGGGTGCGCCTAAGACAAGTAGAATGAGTGTATAAAAATATGTATCAGAGAGTCCAAGCAGCGATACCTAGAAAGTCTGAATATAAATAATCCACATATGCAGGAGGTAGTCCTAGTGCTACATAAAATGGTATGTGAAGTCCCAGATGTATATCCGCAGCTTCAAAATGGATATGTGAAGAAAACAGAAGACAAGGGAAACTCCAATGGTATAGTATGAACGGTAAAATAATATTGTATATAGAATAGTAGAACTACTCATAATATTCAGAGCTTATATCCAGCTCTGGTGTAAATGGCACGTAGTGGAATAATCCCCACTCAAGGATATACGTTGCTCCTCTTTTGTTCTTTAGCAGAGTACTTTGGTGGAGTAGTCCAGCTCGAGGTAAAAGAATAAAATATAGTGCTTCACTGTATAGTTGATAAAATGTAAAAACAGAATAAAATATACTCACAGTATATAGAGCAGACGTACTGCTCGGTGGATGGCGTATGGGTGGTATAATCCCCACCTTAGGATTCTTGGTATTCCAATATGGACAAAAAAGTAGTAGTAGTCAGGTCTGAATAAAATAAACTTGCAAATAGTAAAATAATAAAATTATACTAAAAGAAGGTAATATAATACTAAGGTGGGAAGAGGAATGTGGCAACCAAATGTATAATAGCCAAATATTCCTTTATTAACACTTAGATTATATCAAAAGTTCCTATACGCGTTTCGCCACAATAGGCTTCATCAAGTAGAAACTTATAAGTCTTCTGTTTTCTTCACATATCCATTTTGAAGCTGCGGATATACATCTGGGACTTCACATACCATTTTATGTAGCACTAGGACTACCTCCTGCATATGTGGATTATTTATATTCGGACTTTCTAGGTATCGCTGCTTGGACTCTCTGATACATATTTTTATACACTCATTCTACTTGTCTTAGGCGCACCCTTATTTGTGCTTTTCTCTCCATTGTATTCCAAGGGGCTTAGAGGGGATTCACCTTTTCCATAGGTGTGCTGCCTTGCTGTCATATTCTCTGTTTTCCTATCAGCGCTGAACCTCCTTCCTGATCTCGATTACATGAACTATCCCAAACCTACCTTACAAAAAAAATAAATCTATTTTACCCTAGCGGTCATGCTAGGCTGACATCTGACACTACCTGTTTAAAGCTACTGCTCTAACTCAGGGGTAATCCTGTTATTCTGTTTTTGTCCTTATTGCCAAAGTCTTGAAATAATGGAAGACTTGAGACCAATTTGTCTCACTTCCTTATGCAAATGGACCTTAAAGTCTCACTATGTAATTAACTAAAAATATTTTCTTTTAATAATTTGTTTTAACAAATATGAAAGTGCAACATCACAACAAACAAAAATGCAATACTAACCTTTTACTGTAAACTGTAATAAAATTTGTACTTAAAATGTAGTCATTACCACTAATATAGGCTTAAGCGTGAGTTTTTATGTATTGATGCAAACCTGCTAAAAACAATATCCATATTTATTTGGGATGCAAGTCTGGCCTCAATTGCCAATGTAGCAAGATCTGAAAGCCTTTCCTCAGTCATTGTTGTGCGTAGGAATGACTTGATTAATTTTAGTGCAACAAAGCTTCTTTCTCATGATGCACTGCTGACTGGCAAAACACAAGCTATTTTACAAAGCCGAAAGAGCTCAAGGAATGGAATAAAGTAAGGCTCAAGAAAGTTTGTGAACTCAAGAATTGTGTCCACCTTAATGGAATCTGATGACTTTTTTCTTTGTAAGGTTAGCATTGCCTGCTTCAGCTCAATCTCCAAGTTTTCCATGTTGCAGGAGTAGAAATTGGCCATTGGTTGCAATTTCTCAAAATTAAGAAAATAATCAGATCAAGGATTCAGAGATTGTACACCTTCCATGATTTCCAGAGAATCCCTTGAGAAGCGAGATTTTAGTTCCGAAATTATTCTGTCAAGAACAACATACATGAACTTTTTAATGAAATCCTCTTTTCTGAGCAGTTGTTGTCGATGACCTACAGTTTCCAAAATGATGCTATTTCTCAAGTAGAAAGGAGGCCAGCGATCTCGCTTTTTGGAAGGTGGTTCGGTATACTCGTCAGTTGGTGCTGGTATTCCACACTTCATGCTTAGCTGGATTGTTTCTGCCCACACATGTCCTATTGTTCCAGAATTAGAAGAAGCTTCAGGTTCACTCTCTGGATTGCGCACTTCTTCAAGTTCTTGTATAATTGTTCGTACAAGAAGGACAGCTGATGCCATGTCAAGATCTCTGGCTTGTAACATGTTAGAGAGCGTCTGGGTCCTTTTTAGTATGTTCTCAAAAAACACCAGTGCCAGAATGAAGCCAAAATCAATGAACTGGTGAATTGATTTCGCCTCAACTGCTCTCTCAGTATGGTTTCCTTCTGCTAAAATCTTGAGGGTTTCCAACAGAGGGTCAAGTGTTTTCAGAACAGCATTGCAGGCTGCATGTTGGCATGTCCACCATGTGTCACTTAATTGCTTAAGCTGAATCACCGATTTGCTTGACATTTCTTGTTGCACATTAGTAAACACTGAATGAACTACAGAGGTACTGCAGAACACATACAGCTTTTCAAGTTTAACAAAAAATTAATTTGCTGCCTGTACATTTTTAACAGTGTCCACGATGACCAGGTTGAGATGGTGACTCATACAATGAATGTATAGTGCACAAGGCACCTCCTTTTTAATGCGTGCTTGAACGCCATTAAGACGGTCACTCATTACAGAGGCTCCATCATAGCCTTGTCCAACACAATAATTTTTATCAATGCCTAGAGATGTTAGGACATGGAATATATATCCTGTTAGAGACTTGGCGTCAAGGCTATCTGCTCGGTAGAATTTTAAGAACTGTTCATGGAATATCTGATTGTGAAAAAATCGGACTACGACAGACAGTTGTTCTGTTTTACTCAGATCCTTAGTTTCATCTGCAATGATGGAAAAGGGACTTCCTTTAATGCTCTTTGCAATGTCTTCTCTAACAAGAGCAGCCATAATTGACAGAAGTTCATATTGGATAGATGGGTGTAGATATCTTGCATTTCTTGGTCCTCTAATTTTTTTCCTGACAATGCTGTCTT